ATAAATGCTCAGCTTGAAATGAGAGATGTGAATATGGATGAGATAACTCATAGAAAAATTTATGACAGATGGGTAACTTGAATCGGGTTTTAGTCTCTGGTCAAGATTTGGGTGGGGGAGGGGAGACATTCCCTGAGGAGGGAGCCCCATGTACAGAAGTAGGAATGAGTGTAATGTGGAAGGTTGGACTGTGGGGACCAGAGCAGTGAGAAAAGAATGTTGCTAGTAGGGTAGGGAAAAGCCACACTGAGGAATTCACAGTCAGTGCATTGAGGAGCTAGTATAAGTTCTTGTGCAGCAGAATAAACTGACAAAGGCAGTTTCTGGGGAACACAGAGGCAGAATGGATGGTGCAGTCATCCAGGGTGAGGTGATGAGGCCTCACCACAAGAGTGGTGACAGTTGGAATAGGGTGGAGTGGGCAAACCTGAGAGCAGTTATCATAGTCATGTACTGGTTGGTGAAATACACTGGCCACCTTCTACTAAGCTTAATTTGATTTTCCTTTGCCTAGCAATATCTATGAATCATCTATCTGAATATCAGTTTTTACTATACTGTAAAATGTTGACTGGGTAGACATTTGAATTAAGTGCCTTGACTCTGGAGTATAAATTAAAATTTGTTATAAAAGTTAATTTCTTACTCTCAGTTTGCTTACTTGTCCTTGCACAGGAGAAAAAATAGTAATTCTTTGAATTAAAGTAACTCAAAGTCACGCCTTCATAGTAAATTATAAAGTAATAAGGTTGATTTTCATAAGCCTCTGGGAGACTCTCTTCAAGCAGGTTCATGAATAGTGGTGTTCAAACATCATGGAGGACCTTAGAGACTGTTGGTGTCAGTTTTCTCATTTAACAGGTTAGGAGACTGATTTGAGCAGTTAATGTGTAAATAAAAATAGTAAAACACTGAGGTTGTCAAGCGCCTGTTGTGCATTTTAAGAGACTCTTTGAAATGATAGATGTATGAGAAATGAGAGGATTCTTATAAAGTTTCTAACTGGAGATATTTAAAAGTGAGAGATGGAAGAGGTAGCTTTGAAGAAAGCATTTCCGTATTTTAAATAATTATCTAGTTTTCATACTATTACAATGTTTATGAATAATTTGAAAAATTGAAAGTATCACAGTGAATAGTTGGAAAATAGATATATGTTTGAAGAAAAGACCTTTCTCACACCTGTCGCTTTCAAACAGATTGGTAACTAATTTCTGAAAGGGGTAGCTCATCACAAAACCTTATTAGTGTTTCAGGTTTCTGTTAAGGCAGCATTCTTCCACCATATGGTTAGCAGAAAGTGGATTAACATACTTGAAAAACGAGAACCACGGTGCTGAAAAGGGTTTAAGTAGTAAGTGTAAAATAATACTCCGGCACAGATAGAGATTTAGTTAGTGAGTAAACATGGACATACGTTTACTGTGGTGCTGGATAAAGCCCCTATTTCACTTTATCAAAACTAGCCCTTTTTTCCTGCCTTATTACTCAATCACTTTAATTTATTGCTTAATACCTATTAATTGAGGCCTAAAATTTTAACTACGCAATAAAACTATAAAAAGCGATTTTAATGGTATGAAAATTGAAAACAGGAGTTAGCTCACAACACTTCAGTTCTGCTTTACGATTGTTTTCTCGGATTACTGGGCAAGTTTGACTCTTTTCTTCTTTGACTGCCACGTCGCATCTTGCCTGGAAGCCATCCATTTTGCAGATATTGAATTCCGTTTGAGTACTATTTTTATACAATAAGCATCCCTACACCTCTGGATCTTGATAGCATTACTACAGGAAGAGAAAGCAGCCTTGTGTCAGTAATTACCTAACATTGTCAGAAGCTGACTGCAGGCCTCTTTCTAGTGATAACAGAATAACCGCATAATGTAGCTTTATAGCACATGATTAATAGAAAATAATTACACGTCCTACAAAGGGATGCAATATTTCTTATAAATTGACTAGAATGGTTTCCTGTAGATTAAAGGACTCTTCATTATTTTATCAGTCCTGCTGAAGTGCAGTCACTTGCCTGTGTTAGCATTTCAGTTGATGTTAAGAGCCGAGCAGGGTGAGGGATACCAGATGGCAGAGCTTCTTGTACCTGAGCTCTCGTGCGCCATAAAGATGACATGGTGCTTCCGAACCTTTCAAAGATTCAGATGGCAGCCTGCTATGGTTCTGTCTCTTTATTTTTTGTTTATTAACAAGATCAAGTTTGAGAGTTGGTGCTTTTTAAGGACCCACCTGTGACTTTTAGAACAATGCTGTACCCGGCATGTGGACCGCGAGACAACAGGGTATGGATTGTATTATTTCCTGCCGTAAGTAATCCGTTGTCCAGAACCACACTTGCTTGGGGGAAGGCAAAGGAAGGCAGATTTTCTTCTTCAAAGGCAGCCTTGTATGATGTGGGATCTGCAGGCTGAAGTTTAGAATACCGTGCTCCAAGAAGCATCCTCACTCCAATTTATAGGCTGCAAATGGTTTAATTGGGATTCATGTTGCTCAGGAGGCTCATAGAGGGTGACAATGATAAAAGGAACAGCTTCTGGGTGTGCAGGCTTGACGCGCGCTCACGGCCGCGGAGTAAATCCATATATTTGCCTACTGGATTTTTACCTCGCTATATTTTACCTTACCTCTTAATTCCACACAGGAGTATTATACGGAAGCCTTTATGAATGTAAAGTAATAAACATTGTGAGTTTTTTATTTGTACCCTTCTCTGATTTAAAGCTGTGATATCATAGAGTACTTTTATGAGGTGTGCATTTCATGTGCTTTTCAATTCTTTTAAATTAATTAAGTGAAGCATTTAAGATGATTTCAGTCTAAAACTTTAATATCTTTTCCTCGAATGTGACTTGTAGGGGATTTGTTTCCAGCTGGATAAGCTCCTCCCTGCTGTTTACTGCTGTCTTTTCAACTTAATGAATCTTAGTTACTGTCAGGCAGGGCTCTCTCACGTGTGGAGTATGTCATTGGTCCTTTGTTGAAGTGATTTGTTGGAAATCAATTTCTTAAATTTGGATGTGAGTCAGCTTTTTGAGAACAATAATATATCCTTAATTGAGAGCACAGGTTACAACCGCAGCAGAATATTATAAAGTAATACGAACTTCTGGTTTGTAATTGGAATCTAAACATTGAAACCCAGATTGTGGGCTATTCTCTGAAAGCAGGCTTGGATCATAATATGCCTCTCACTGAATGCGTTCTGTGCCTGCCCTTTGTGGGGCTTAGATTCTTTACTCCTTCCAAATAATCAATTGAAAAATCTTAGGTTGGCGCTGGGTAAGAGCCCTCACACTTACGCTTACCCTAGTGACCATCCATTTTGAAATTTTATAAGGTAAGCCTTTGGCCCCTGAAAGGTTAAATACATTTGTTTTGTTAAGCATTAGGTTCTAATTGTATTCATTGCCTTAAAAATTGAAAAGGGCAGTTTTATTAGGTACCTATTAGGATATAATGGTTGCTAATCTTAGCTTTCAGTAAGTTGGTATTTTCTTCTGATAAATATATCCTACATATGTTATAGTCATCACCATTGAGTTCTGGGCATCAGACTATTTTCATTTCATAACAGTTTTGTCCACGAAGTTCACACTATCAGAGAACTTCTAAACTTAAGATCTTGAGTCCACTGCCTCATAAGCCAGATGTGCCCTCGTTAGCATCACAAGTGCAGGGTTAGCTTTTTCCCCCCTTTCCTTCCACCCTATTCTTTCAGTAAATCTCATCCTGACGTGTCACAGTTAAAAAGCACATGTAGATTTAGCCCAATAATCTCTATTGATAGAACACATATCAATACACACGTTAATGCTGCTACATTTATATTGAAGAATTGTGATTTTCCCTCCTGATGGTCAGTAGCACACTAATCAATACGGATATTAAGTCTGAGCCTGTATTAACATTCCCTCCCACATATAACTCGATGTGCATATGCACATTTATCTGTGACTCAGATGTTGGGAAATCATAGCCTATTGAATTACTTTGGGGATTGATTTTAAAAATTTATCTATATGAAAAATTAAATTTGGGTCCTCCAGTGCTGTTTGTAGAGTATTGCTTTTGAAAGATATTATTCTTGAAACTTGTAATTCATTTTACTTTGTTTGTCTCTCCCTAAACATAAATAAGTTTGAGATAAAAAGACATTAGTCAATGTGGCAGGCCTATGGGGCGGGTTGCGATGTTCACAACGCCCGAAGCAGCGGTGTGCCCGCAGTGGAGGCGCAGGCTTGCCCCATCGCTCGCTTCCTTACAGCTGCCTTACTGTGTCGCCTTTATTACTTGGGATACTTTTATTTCCCATTGACCTTCCTCTGTAGGGGTGGATCTAATGCCACCTTTAAATTCCTCCTACCCATCCTTTAGCTGTTGTACTTGATGATCAATAAAAAACAGCAAGTGCCTCGGGGAAGCTTTTTTAAAAGAGCCCTTTTACGAATGGTTTTATACAGAATTTTTATGTATTATTAGTGTTTCCTTATTTTCTCTAATTTATTTAAAATGTCTATATTCACATACTAGATTTTCTTACGAAGGGGCATACCTCTATATTCTAAGTCATTTTCAGTCATATGAGTTTAAGTAGGAATTAAGTATATTGTGAAAAAAAAATTCTATCCTTGCTAGATGGGAAGCTTCTTGAAGGCAAAGACAGTGTCCTAAGGACCCAAGCTATAACCCTGCAGCCTCCAGCAGAGAGAGAGAGGGAGGGAGAGAGAGGGACATGGCTTTACAAGTGACTGTCTGTGTTCTACACACAGTAATAAACAGGCTTTGTCTTATATGTTAATTTAAATCTTTGCCTAACAGCATTTTTAAAGTGTCCAGAAACAGAAAAAGATTAAAATGTTTCAATTTGCAGCTCAAGCTCTTGTAAATTTATAAAAAGAAATAACATTTCTGAGAAGTTGCACACAAACGACATTGTACTTCCACCAGTCTAAAGGTTAATATTGCATATTGTTTTCAATTAGGAATACAATAGATATGGCTGGTGGGTAGGAGAAATGAAGGGAGCCATTGGCTTGGTGCCGAAAGCCTACATAATGGAGATGTATGATATTTGAGAGTCCTGGGTAAGTACATTTTAATCCAATATTCTGTAATAGCTCATATGTTCTCTTGGTCTCTGCATTATGAGTCTTTGCCTTTTTTAAAGTCTTGGCAGTTTTCTGATAACACAGAGATTATGCTCCCAAATCATCTTCTTCTTTTTTTAAAAACAAACAAACCCTGGTTCAATTTTAAAAATAACTTCATAGAATTTACTTTGGAAAAACATTATTAAGAAAAAGTCCCTTTGATAATTGCCAGCTCTTTTTCCAAACCTCCTCCTGTTTAGTAAAATACCACTTTTTATGGCCTTTCTGAGGAACCGAATTGATGAAAGGTTGAGTAAACATTCCTTTTTCCTTGGCTAAAAAAATGTAATTTTTTTAAAGCAGGAAAGATCAACATTTTGATTGAAGAAAAACATTATAATGCAACTTTCCCTCTCTGCCCGCAGAAGGAAGCTTCTCCTGCTACTCTGCAAATGCTCCGGATTTAGACCCACCGGGAAAGCATGAGTGACGGCTCCTAACCTTTCTTTGTTTTGTTGAGCATCGTGTGTCTTGGTTATTTTACGCATTCATAACATCCCTCTGATGTGAAACTAAATGAAGGATATTAATGTAAATTAGATACAAGCCGTAAACTTAGACCTGTTGCTGTTTGGCAAAGAATAATTGTAGTTTTTACTTACTCATTTGATTTGTGTGAAGAAATCAGCACTATTTTGTGTGTCCACTGCTGCTTCCGGTCTGAGTTGCAACCTCTCTCAACGCTGGACATCAGTTATTTTTTAGACTGTAACATATGACTTCATAGAAATTGAAACTGAATATATCATGCAAGTTTTTGGTAGATGCTATTTAAAGAATGAGCCTTTATTAAAACTTCGTAGATGATTTATGTTACTATTTATATTCCACACAATAGTAACATGTTTTCATGAAGAATTTTCACTGATTGGCAAATTGACTTTATGTTAAATATAGCCCCAAGGAAGCAAAAGGATTGCAGCTGGCAGTGCGCTGTCACCTTCTGCAACAACGGGCAGACTGGACCCGTGCTCTGTGCCAAGCCCTGTATCAGCAACAGACCCCCGGTTAGACGGCGGGCCTGCGACACTTTCTACCATAGTTTTGTTTACATTTAATAAAATAGAAGATTCATAGGAAACCCCCCTCTCCACTAATATAAGGGGGTGAAGAGCCTCAATGTGCCCTAGGAAGAAGGTGTAAGCTGGCACCTCCGGTCCTGCCTGATCGTGGCTGTGACACTGAAGCCCCACCATAAAACACAAAACACAGCACAGTGCAGCCGCAGGTGCGGGTGTCCTCCACACACCGCAGAGCAGTGGGCAGGACAGGAGGGTCATCGAGGAGAGGGTAGGAGCCAGCGGCACAGGGCCAACAGGAGCGTGGAAGGCTGCGCCAGCCCGACTCGGGTCGCAGGCTCCGCTGCTCGAGCAGGATGTGCAGACACGTGTCATTAGCCTTCCGCGATGTTTGAAATCAGAGGCACTCTGAATGCCTGCCAGGTACAGTGTGGTCTTGGTCTATGTCAGAGGCCCTGCTGAACACATCATTGTTTGGAGCAGATATAACCTCCCCCCGTTGAGTCACTGATTAACACCTACTACCTCTGTTGAACTTCTAAGGTTTCTGCTTTATGGAGATAGAGATTTTGGCCATGCAAACAAGCTGATACTGTTTAAAACTCCATATTTACATAAAACTCTTTACAAGCTCTGTGTCAGAGTGTATACTTACCCAACACCATGATCATGTTATTTCAGATGTTAAAAAATACTAACTTTCGGGATTGTGGGTTAAATTAGACACTGTTGAGCTAAAGCTTCCAGAAATTAACTGAGCTCTCGTTAATCTTGTCTAATCGAGAGTCACTGGAATAGAGTGAAATCATCTCGGGAAAAGTAAGACGAGCAGAGATGAAACCAAGGGACTGTTTTTCAAAACCTGAGAGGTTGAAAAGCGAAAGCAGCGGTGGATTTCCACCGAAAATTCGGACTTGCTTGTGGCGTGGACACAGGTTTCGCGCTCCCGGCTTAAGTGAAGATTTGAGCCCTGGGCCAGTAGGTGGCAGCAGCTTGTCATGGCACCAAGGCGCCTGGAGGCCCCTCCCCCGCTCGGCCCGCCCCCCAGAATGTCAAGCGGAGGAACAGTGGCGCCTCCTTTTACAGTTAATCCAGGAGAGGGAGTCCTTTGCCAACTGATGACCAGCAATCCCAAGCCAGACAGTCTCCCTGAACGGTGGCCATACAGAAACCAAGTGCTACTTCTGTCCAGAGCTCCTCTGGCCTTTGTTCTTCGTTAACTTGAATCTAGGTGGGAAACAGGAAAGAAAACAAAAGATTTAGAATTGGAGTGACAGGAAAAATAATCATTACTTTCAACTCATGACAACTTTGCATGCATTTGGTGACTTATCTGTATACTACCAGGGAGAAAGTTTTCTTTACACCCTTGACAATATATCACACACTCTTCAAATCATAATAATATAATTAATGTGAATTTAAACAACATGGCTTGTTAGGAAACATGCTAATTGCTATGTTCTCATTATGTTTGCTTAGCTTTTATTTGTTTTTCTATGAACAGTTAGAGAGCTAATTTTTTTCAAAGGTGATTGTAAGTCATATTTTATATAGCATTTTGCTTGATTATTTGCTCTGTACTGGATTTGTACTCTATTGCCATTAGATCTTACAATAATGTTCCACTCTGCAAATTTTTAAGGTTCAAATAAAGTTTAATTGTTTGCAAACTGTTATGATGCTAATAATTCAACAGCCTGCTGTGTTACTAATGAAATTACTTTGTTATGATTAATTTGGAAAATAGTGTGTTGATTGTAGTAATTAAGCACAACAAGGTGAAGGAAATGATTCTAATGCCATCTGGCCTCCAAAGTGAATGAAGAAATGAAATAGGGCTGTCATCTGAATTTATTCAAAGAAGTAAGGGTAACACGAACGCCTTGCATCACCGCGAGGGCTTACACTTAACCACGGCTCGTGCCATTCTGTTTGCGCCACTTTGTTGCACATGACACTTTCTTTTAGGAAAAAGAATGCTGTTTAGCCCAGCGATTGTTTTCATTGCTTTATATTATTTTTAGTCGATTATTTTTATCTTGCACTAATTTAATGTTTCTATTCAAAACTCGTAGTTTTGATGATTCCTCCTTTTTCTGTATTTTTCTATACTTCCTCCAATCTAATCTATTCCTGCTCACTTCATAGAGTCTGGCACCTTCCAGTCATGGTTAGAAACAGAGCCGAGAACCTAGTTATTTATTAGGGATCCAGATTCGCAGTTCAGCTACTATAGGAACACGGACCTTAATGTATGTGTTGTTTAAAAGCTTGAACTTCGTCAGTGAGACTGAGTGAGCACTGTGTGAGTTTTAAAATCAAGTAAAGTACTTACAACTTCAGGGAAGTCAGTTATTTCTCAGTGGCTGAATGGAAATATAGACACCAACTGTACAGACATCACTTTTACTTCTCTTCAGCCCCATGACTCAGGGATGTTGAACAGCAATCCGTGTGGCAAAGGAGGAGGTGTGATGGGGATTGAAACAGGGTTCAACCGTAGAAATCCAGCTTCGCTCAGAGGGAAGGGGCAGAATTCATACACAGACACAAAACCATTGCTAAAGTGGCCGAGCTTGTTAGTAAAACCCTGAGTATTCCAAATGCAGAGAAATAAATAAGTAGCGTATTATTAAAGTGTCTTTCTACAAACTTGACCTCAGCTTCAGCCAGTATTACCACCCCCAGCCTTGCGGCCGAGTCCTAGAGTAGCTGTTAGAGCCCCTGGGAGTGTCACGTTTTTCTGTGATGAGGTAAATACCTATAAACATATGATCACAGGAACATGGAAGGACATTTCACTAATAAATACCATGTTGAAGGGGCATTTCTGGTTTTCCCTGGTAGAATCTGCTCCATCATTACTTGGTCACAAATACATGACTTATTGTCACCATGGTCCTTCGGAGTATCTGCCTAGCCAGTGACCATGTTCTAATCAACTGGTTTGCCCCCCTCCCCGCCACTATCCCAAGACCTGAGATGTAAGAAGAGCTTGGCCTCTGTGCCTGGTAGGGAAGACGCCTCTATCCGTTGTCACATTGGCTTTCGGACTGACAACGTTCTCTTTGCCAAAAAATCATTCTTTTACTGAGACTTTAAAAGCAGTTTCATTGTCCCCATAATGCCATCAACAAGTGGGCTGGACTGGATGGGGGCAACTGAACTGAGTGAGACTGAATAACAAAGTGGCAGTTTGTCTTTGGATGTCTCCTCCCTCCCTTTCCTGTGTTCAGTGTTGTCACTTTCAAAGAAGCGGGCAGCTCCCGGCGAGCGATCTAGTTCCACCTCCCGGCACATCCCCAGTCGCTGCTGTCCCACATGTCACCTGGGCCAGCAGGTGCGGGCCACCTTGGAAGCACTCTAGCTGTCACCTCGGACGGATCAAAAAGGAATTTCCGAAAGTGGGAAGTTTCACAGTTGTGGCCAAATGCAACCGTAATCCAACTTTTTTCTTTTTTTCTTTTTTTTTTAACTTGTACTCCCTATTGCTTTAAAGTTGTATGATTATGTGACCTTGAGAGCTTTGAGTCCCCAGGGTGGCAGGAACCGTAAGTGCGAGAAGTAACCTTAGTCACACCGGGCTCAGCTTGGGCCTGTCGTGTGGGGAAAGGGGCTGGATGGAGGCTGGGGATACCAAAAACGTGCGACTACGAAGTCACCCACAGGCCCATCTGAAGTGCTCTCCTTGATGCTGGAGCCGCGGAAAGCCTGCCTCAGTTTCTCTCCCGCCGTTTCCGTGGTGTCCTTTGTTACCCACCGTGACTCGGAGAGGGGATGCAGAGCAGCACGCGTCTGATCTCGATTTCTTGGCCTCAGCTTTGTAAGAGAAAAATCTCTCTCCTGCTGGAGTAAAAGCAGGTGCCCACCGGCAGCCTGAGCAGCAGTTTGCCTCCTGTTTGAGGACAGGGTCGCGCAGGTGCTCTCAGAGGCAAGTAAGGACACCCACGCGCGCCAGTTCAAAGTGACTGCTTGGGGGGGGGAGCAAATGAGCAGGTTCCCAGACCCAGCCTCCCCTCCCGGGCCGTGGGGGCCTGTTCCTAAGACCTGCGCTCTTCACCCGTCGTGTCAGAACCGTAACCGTCTAACTGGGACTGGGCAGAGCGTGGCCAGCGCCGACGGCTGACACTTGCCATGCTGGGCGCTTTCGGCCCCCTGACTACCCTATGAGGCAAGTCCTCTTGTTTCTTCCCATTGTCCCGATTAGGAGGTTGGGGGGGACTTTGTCCCAAGGTCCAGGAGCGATGAGGTACCCAGCCGGCCTCCCTCGACGGCAGCACCACTCTGCTCCCAGTACTGTGATGAATTCACCCCAGATGCTTCACCCCCCATCCCGTCCATACAGTAGGCGCTCAATGAAAGCTTACTGCCGTCCAACAGCGCCCCGGGGCTCGTGAAAAGCATGAACCGCCGGGCAGCCGCATCTGCCGCCTGGTCGTTAAACTCACCCTGGTGACTGTCAAATCCAAAGCGGCGAACAGTCCACACGGAGAAGAAACTCGCCGCCGGACGGCATCTGCCCGCGGGCTTCCAGGAAGCCGGGCAAGGC